GTGTACCTTTTTCCCTACATCCTTGCCAACTTTATTGTTGCCTGTATTCTTGATAATTGCTATTCTGACTGGAGTGAGATGAAATCTCAGAGTAGTTTTGAATTTCATTTCTCTAATTGCTAGATATGTTGAACATTTTTTCATATATTTGTTGGTTGATTATATATCTTCTTCTGAGAAGTGTCTGTTCAGTTCCTTAGCCCATTTATTGACTGGATTATTTATTTATTATTATTATTATTTGGTGTTAAAGTTTTTGAGTTCTTTATATATCCTAGAGATTAATACTTTATCTGAAGTGCATGTAATAAAGATTTTCTCCCATTCTGTAGCTCTCTTTTCACATTATTGTTTCTTTTGCTCAGAAGAAGCTGTTTAGTTTGAATCCATCCCATTTATTGATTCTTTATTTTACTTCTTGTGTTTTAAGGGTCTTGTTAAGGAAATCAGAACCTAAGCTAACAGGGTGAAGATTTGGGCCTACTTTTTCTTCTAGTAGGCACAGGGTCTCTGTTATAGTGCTTAAGTCTTTGATCCACTTTGAGTTGAGTTTCATGCAGGGTTAGAGATAGAGGTTTAATTTCATTTTGTTACATGTGGCTTTCCATTTTTCTCAGCACCATTTGTTGAATAGGCTATCTTTTCTCCAGTGAGTGTTTTTGGCATCTTTGTCTAGTATGAGATAACTATAATTGTGTGTATTTGTTTCTGTGTCTTTCATTCTGTACCATTGGTCTACATGTCTGTTTTGATACCAATACCATGCTGTTTTTGTTACTATAGCTCTGTAGTATAATTTAAATTCCGGTATTGTGGTGCCTCCTGCTTCATTTTTCTTGCTAAGGATGGCTTATTCTGGTTCTCTTATTGTATAAATGAATTTCATGATTGCTTTTTCTAGTTGTATGAAGAATGTCGTTGGGATTTTAGTGGGATTGTGTTAAAACTGTATAATGCTTTTGGTAGAATGCCCATTTTGACAATACTAATTCTGCCTATCTAGGAGCACGGGAGGTTCTTTCATCTTGTAAGGTTTTTTCCAATTTCTTTCTTTAGTTTTGTAGTTTTCATTGTAGAGGACTTTCACTTCTTCTGTTAGATTTGTTACATTGATTCCCAAGTCCCCCCCACCCCCTCTGAGGCTATTGTGAATGGGGTAGTTTCCTAATTTCTCTTTCAGTGGATTCATCACTGACGTATAGAAATGTATTTGATTTATGGGTATTGATTTTATATCCTGCTACTTTACTAAATTCATTTATTAGTTTTAGAAGTTTTCTGGTGGAATTTTTTGGATCTTCTAAATATAGAATCATGTCATTGGCAAATAGTGATAGTTTGAATTCTTCTTTACATATTTGTATCCCTTTAATTTCTTTCTTCTAATTGCTCTGGTTAGAGTTTCAAGGACGATGTTGAATAAAAGTGGTGAAAGAGGACATCCTTGTCTTGTTTCAGTTTTTGGAGAGAATGCTTTCAATTTTTCTCTGTTTAGAATTATGCTGGCCTTGTATTTAGCATATATAGCTTTTATGATGTTGAGGTGTATGTTCCTACTATCCCTAGTATTTCTAGTGTTTTGAACATGAAGAGGTGCGGTTTTTTTAAAAATGCTTTTTCTGCATCTATTGAGATGATCATATGGTTCTTGTTTTTAAGTCTATTGATAAGATGAATTGTGTTTATTGATTTCCATATGTTGAACCAACCCTGCATTACTGGAATGAACTCCACTTGATTGTGGTGCACTATCTTTTCAGTAAGTTTTTGTATGTGATTTGCCAGAATTGTAATGAGAATTTTTGCATCTATGTTCATCAGGGATTCTGAAGTTTTCTTTCCTTTATGTGCCTTTGTCTGGTTTTGGTATCAGGGTGATATTAGCCTCATAGAATGAATTTGGAAGTGTTTCCTCCTCAACTATTTCATGGAATACTTTGAGGAGTACTGGTGTTAATTCTTCTAAAGGTCTTATAGAAATTGGTTGAGAATCCATTGGGTCCTGGGCTTTTCTTTGTTAGTAGGATTTTTATGGAATTTTCTATTTAATTACTTGAAATTGATCTGTTTAAATTGGGTAGGTCTTTCAGTTTGGGTAGGTCATATGTCTCTAGAAATTTGTTGATGTCTTTGATATTTTCTATTTTATTGTTGTATAGATTTTTCAAAATAGGTTCTAATTATCTTCTTATTCAGATGTGTTCATTGTGATCTTTCCTTAGACAGGGTCTCAATGAATTGCTTAGTGCCTCACTTTTGCTGAGGATGGCTTTGAACTTGCCATACTCCTGCCTCAGCTCCAGAGCCTCTGGGATTACAGGCATGCGCAACTGAGCCTGGCTATATAACCATTTTTAAGTATGCTATTTTACTAGGTGAAAAAATAGATTATGTGAGACTCAATGGCACAAGTCTATAATTCCAGCAACTCAAGAGGGTAAGGCAGGAAGATCACAAGTTCAAAGCCAGCCTTGGCAACTCAGAGAGACCTTATATCAAAATAAAATAAAACAGCTGGGAATGTATCTCAGTGGTGCTAGAGTGCTTACCTAGCATACATGAGACCCTGACTTCAATCCTCAGTGCTGGAAAAAAAAAAGAGTTATTATAATGAGTTTGTTTAATATGATCCTATTTTGTAGAGTATCTGAATGTGAATGTGACTTGTGTGAATGTCCATGTGTCTTCTTACAAAAAGATTTAGGAGAAAATATATATATATAAAAGGTATTGCTAGTGGTCAGTGAGATTTAACTGTATTTAGTATATTTGGATAAATAGAAAAAATAATAGTTTAAAAAGAGAAAACGATATATAACTGCAATGTAACAGAGACAGTCATAAGTGAATGACTAGTTCTAGCTCAGATTTGTGAGAGAAGGCTTCATGGACAAGGTGTCCTTGGCTTGGGAAGGGATAATCAGAGTTGTTTGTTTTCCTGTTTCTGCCCAGCTTGGATCTCCTCTTCCATGTAGAAATAAGAAACTTTATGATGAAGGTCTAGGCCATTTCTATAGACCTTTCAGCCTGTTTTCTTGCTGGTCATAAAATATTTATGTCAATTAATTTTAAACCAGATGACAGGAAGTGGAAGTTTAGAGCTGCCCAAAGCTCACTCCACCACAGCTTCGATCAGTGACCAGCACAATCCCTTTGCCACTCTTTTGCTCATCCCTTGACAGTTGGGATTTCATCCTCATTTGCAGTGGTGGTGGCATTCCTGGGTGTTAGATTACCAGCACTTTCCATTTCCTTGGTTACTATCTTGGATCTTTGAACAAAGAATCACTTTCAGTTCACATTTTTCTAAACTTGGTTTTAGAAATTATGCAGCTTCTTACCCAAGGGCCCTTTGTGGGATCTTAAATAAGTACTGATACAATCTAGTCCCTTTTTGGAGAAGCTGACAGTGTAACAGAACTGGATGACCCTGCCTTGATTTGGAAATAAAACTTAATTAGTGGTCAGATACGAAAGAAATGCAAATTTGGAATTTGAGGACTGGCATGAGCGCTGGGTTAACAGGGCAAGTCCTGGTTCCTTCTGTAAGGAGCTGTGTGACTTTGGACATATCTTAAGGTGTTTTTGTTGTTTCATTTTAAAATATGACAAAATGAGGTTCTGAGGTCACAGTAAAGTGAGGGAACTTACACCAGCCTCCCCCCCAAAATGTAATGGGGGCATTGAGGGGGGCGGTGGGCAAAGTGGATGAGCATTTTAAATGTCAAGAGTTATCTATTATAAGAAGAATTAGAAAAAGGTATATAAACAGCACCTCAAACCTGTGACTTCATGGATATTTGTATGTAGAATGGTTATAAGTATAAACTGAGTTGTTAGCATCCCCTTTGTATCTACAGAATCCATTTTCAGTTGCAAGACTACCTTTCACTAGGCATGGGTGGTGAGGGGCACAAGAAAGGAGCTGTAGAAATTTTTAAAAATAATAAAATCCCTTAAAAATAAAGTTAAACAAGAATACGTGAATTGCTTTGGAAAAGTTAATGATAGTAGAGGCAACCCATGGATATGGTAAAAAATGTGATGTTGGTGCCCAAATTACTGCATCAAGCCTTGGATGGATCACTAAGCCTTATTGAGCTACAGTTTTCTCAGCTGTAAAAATCTCCCAGGGTGTTTTTGAGGATCATGAGATAATGTCTGCAGATATTATCAGCTCAATAGCTGTCACTTAGTAGGGACTCAAATGTATGAGTTTCCTTTTCTTTCCGTAGTCTCTTTTTTTTTTTTTAAGTTAAAATAATATCTGTGATAGGCTGGTCAGTTTTCTTATTTTCCAGATGAGGTAGCAGATCCCAACTGGGGAAGGACAGTCCAAGGGCTGAGTTCGCTTGCTCTTCACTCCGCCAGGCTCAGGTGTAGCCAGTGAGGGCAGAGATCACACCTCAGACCCAAAGAGCTTGGGGAAACTGACCAAGCTGAGAGAACGAAATAAAGCAACCAAGGCAACAGTCCTGCTCTAACACCAGGAGCCAGAGAGGGAGAATCACAATCTGCTGGGCACTGAGTACTTTTAAATTGTATGGATGTGTATAGCCCCTGCTCTGAAAAGAGCTGAACTCCATGTATAAAAGAAAATAAGTTTGGAAAAGTATCCCAGAATGTTGGAAGGAAGTATGTTGAGGTTGCAGCCCTTTTCTTTGCTCTATTTCTTCTTGTTTCTTAGTAGCCTTTCACAGATTAACATCTATGAAAAATAAACATAAGTGCCCAAATGATGGGAAGGCTGAATTTTCTGTCCTGGGAGTTGGGCACCATTGGCATCTGGGCTTGCAACATAACTATTAATTACCATGCTTAATTTTTTATGATCACACTTCATTTTCTGAATAGTTCCCTTGCAACCCGTGACCATTGGCAATTTCCTCTGTTCCATGGGATCATGGAGAGTTGGTAGCCAACATTAGGTATAAAACCAGTGATGCATTTTAGTCCAGAGGACTCAAGGGATTAATTGTGATTGTCTTCTTGTTTTGCAGATGGAAATTTTGAGAATCAGAGAGGGCTGGTGATCTCTCAGACGCTTGGTCAGTAGGTAAGTGATGATAAAAGACAGTCTGAAACAAAATATGTTTCTAGGCTCTATGACTTAACCTCCGCCAGACCCAGTGGCTCCTGTTTTGTGACTTTTCTATTTTGCACAATTCAAGTAAGGAATAAGATGAGCTGGTTTGAGGCCTTTGCAACATCGTGTGCACTTGTTTCTGGTTGTTCCCTTCGTGGAGTTGGAATGAATGTTGAAGTCGAGTTTGTGAAGACCTCCTGGGCACTGCCTGACCTGTAATGGGACTTTTCCTGAGAATGGTAGACCCATTAGATTCTGGCCTGCACTGTGGCTGGTGTGACACTCACTGACTGTCCCTGCAACAGACCTGAGTGTTTGATGAATGTAGCACTGATCCAAGGGGTTAGAGGGTATTGACCTCAGCCCCACAATGACCCGCTCTGTGACCTTCAGTACACAACTTCACGCAAGGTTGCCTTCATTTTGCCTGCCTTCTTCCCAACTGTTTTACTACAGAAAATTTGGTGCTAGTCTCTGTGCCAGGTACTAAAGATGACAAGCTAAATACAGCATAGATTTTGCCCTTGAGGAGCTCACGGCCCAATGGATGAGCTCCTCCTTCCCTTGATAGTTTCTCATCACGAGAATTTCTCATATCTGCTTTGGAGTTTGTAGTTGGTGGAGTGCTTTGTGACCTTCACAAAACTATGTAAGATAGAAATAAGTTGTGACTTCCATCCACAGAGGAGAGACCCGTGGCTCAGGTTGGCCAAGGCTATCCAGGGAGTAGGACTCAGAGCTGGACTCCAGATCCTTGCTAACTTCAAGGTTGGTTTCTAATCCCAGCAAAAGGTACCCCCTGACAGTTTTAGCATGTGTGTGGGTATTGCTGTGCCCTAACCCTCGGCAGCAGGGATGAGGTTGGGGAGATAGGCTCTTGGATGGAGCCCACGTTGATGCGGGAATAATTTTCTGCACGTAGTTCTTTCCTGTGTCTAGCTGATAGGTGCAGAAGCAATGCTTTTCCTCCCTGGCAATGAAAGCAGCCAACGGCTCTGGGTGAGCTGGTAACCAGAGGGAAATCTGCCCAGGGCCAGGGTTGCCTCCTCCAAGTGACAGGGACTTAGCATATCAGAGAGAATCTGGCAAGGTCGGGGAGGATACAGCCCCCTTCTTGTGCGGTGACACTGCCGAAGGCTGCTGCTTCCCACCAAAGCTTAATGATCCTGGACTAAAGAAAGCTGGTAGCTTCGGCCTTTGCGGAGCTGCCTTGCCTCAGGCGCAGCGTGAAGAATGATAGGGATCAGAGGCTGTGCTGTTTGTTTATGTGGAGGACAACTCCTTGTGGAGGAAGTTCTTGGATTGCCTCAAAGTCTGGAATTTCAAAGGGTGCAGGACTAACCTCCGGGACTAGACATGCTTTTTCTATTTTGCAGTTTGTGTGTGTGCAGGGAATGGTGGCATCCTTGAGGTAGATATGCCTGGAGTGTGGGAATGTAAAGGATGGCAGGATTTGTGGGCAATGTGTGAGTTTGTCGGGATGGGGTGTGTGTGTGTGTGTATGTGTGTGTGTGTGTATGAGAGAGAGAGAGAGAGAGAGAGAGAGAGAGAGAGAGATCCCTAGGAAGCAATTCTTATGGGAAAAAAAATAAAACTTGCTAGTATTATTTTTCAGCAGGACCCCAAAATGGGCTTTAAATAAGTCTCATTAAACTCTTTCATGACTAGGGGAGGCTGGCCCTTCTTTCACTCTGGCTGGGATCATCCAGTTCTCCCTGGCCATCTTCTTTGGGGTCAGATAACAATGCCGGTTATTTGTTTTCATCTCTCCAAAGCCCTTCCCCCTCCCTGCCCTCCACAGCCCCCACTCCCACCCCAGTGCTGTGTGATCTCTCTGCCTGGACCTCAACAGGGACAGGGCTGGTGTTGGGACTGACAGATGATAGCTGCTGGAGTGCCCTGTGTCTCTCATTGTCCCAGCAGAGAACTTCAAGGTCTTTGTGCAGGAGGTACACTGAGCTGGGAGTTCCGGGCCACCTTCCTTTCCCTGAGGGTCACTTATGGCTACAGATGCTCGGCAGGACTGTGTGTGTGCAAACCCTTTCCTTCAAGGGTTCAGTTTCCTCTTGTCCGACATGGGAAGAGGTGAAGTCCTGTTGAAAGGCAGGTTTCACCCTAGACTGCAAGCAATCTGCCAGGTCTCCTGAACAGAGCCATTTCCCAGAGTGATTATCTTTCCTGAGCTGAGAGCCAGGTGCTCTGCAACAGGAAGCCAGGCAGGCTTAGCAACAGACTTATCAGGCCACGCTACAAGAATGTTCCTTCGTGTAAACAGGTCTGGGTCTGTTCCTCTCTGTTCCTCTCTCTGCATTGGCTCAGCTCTGAGGCTGGTGCATCGTGATTCGCAGGGCTCCTTCGCAGTGGTAAAGCACTCCCTGAGGTGTGCAGCTCTTCTGCATCATTCTTGTTCCTCCCCACACAGAGCTGCAAGTGGCTGAGTGTGTAGAAAGGACAGTCAGTGTTTGTGGTCACCACAAAGAAGCCACTGGCTCAGGGTGGGCAGCGGACAATTGCCCCCCTGGGGTGCTCATGACTTGTATAATAAGCAGGCCTTCATCTGAGTCCCAGTTTGGCCTTTATTGAACCAATCGACTCAACATTTTGCTCCGGTCATTGCAACCTATTGTTAAAGATGTGTCATGCGTACTGCTGTCTAGTCAAGGGTGAGTGGAAATTCACCACCATCCTGCGACCATTCTACTTGCCAAATTACCTGTCTCAGAGCTGCTGCAGCTGCCTAGGAGATGAGGTGTCTTTCCTGAATTCACAGAGGCAATAAAGGGATTAGTGGGGGCCATGACTCTTTCAGCCTCAGTTTCTTCATTTCTTAGGTATAGGTTGTAGGATTGATTAATGATAATCCACCACACATGGGAAAAGACTGATACACAACAGCAGTAATCATAGTAGTAATGATGACAGTAATGATAATGCATTATTTTGTGGTACTGTATATTTCTTAAGGTTCTTTTATATTTGATTCTCTCAGCAACCCTGCATTAAAGGCAGGATTAGGATTACTCTCTCAATTAGACAGATGAGGAAATTGGGGCAAAGAGAAATGTGATGTGAAGTCCTGGTCTGGAGTCAGCATAAGCCATCGTGGCCACAGTGTGGTCTTGGGGAAATGCTGGCTTGGGGATGCCTGGTAGAACCAGAGCATCCAGCCTGGTTGGAGCAGGAAGTACTTCCTCCCCAGACCCTTCTGCCTTTTATCCACCTTGGTCCTGAAGAGCCTGCTGTTTGGAACATTCTGCTTGGTTCTTGTCAGCAACTGCACCCTAGTGGTCATTCTCAAGTCATCGTGGCTACAGTCTTTGGCTCGAATTGGCTCTAAACCAGAAAAGCCACCTGGCATCAATCCTGTCACATGCCCCAGGTGAACCTGTTGCCTGACTTCAAAACTTCCTAGACAGATTCTCCAGGGGTGGGAGAAAGCAGCCACCCAATATCTGCCTTCTATGTGCTCTTAGTCACTGCTCAAAAATGCTCATTCAAACCCTCTGATCAATAGACACTTAGTAAGCAACTGCATGTGCAAGGTACTCTGGGGATAGGTACATATTTTTTTCTAACTTTTATCTTTTTCACAATAACTAAGTTTCAAAGAAGTTAGTTAACATGTCCAAGATTACATAATAATTTAATAAAATGCTGGGATTTGAACCCAGATTCTAGGACTAGAAAGCTTACGCTTTGATTTAAATAAAGCATGTAACACAGAGTGGCTAGCAAGAAACAGTGGTCATTTATTAGTGAGAGTTCTTTTTAAAAATAATCATTAACAAAGCACTTACCATACTACATTCTAATTGTTGATTCTTTGTGGTTCTCTTCCACTGGACCATGCAGTTCCTGAGGGTAGAAACTAGCAGATCCAGCTCCTAGCAAGGTATATGGTTTATAGCAACTGATCAATAAATGTTTGAATGGTTAACAATATTAATAATGAGTGAACTATTGACTACATGCTAGGCATAGTGCTAAGTGCTTTATGTTTAGTTTTAACTTTGGGATTCTGAGAACTATTCTGAGAACTGTAAGGTTAGGGAATTTCATCATTTTGTGAACATCATCAGATATATTTACACAAACCAGGTGGTCTCAGTCAATCACTCTATGTGGCCTCTTGATGCAATCAAGGGACATAGTAATCATGAGATGCATGAAGCTGCTGCTGGCATGACACAGCATGCTGTTTTATGGTAAACTGATCTCTTGTAAGTATTACATTCTAAAATCATGTTAAAATACAGTATAATAAATACATAAACCAGTAACCTCATTGCTTATTATCATGACAAAATATCATGTGCTCTACGTACTTGTATGTGCTGCACTTTATATGACTGGCCGTGAAGTATAGATTTTTCTATACCAACGTCATCATAAATATGTGGGTAATGCATCATGCTATGATGTGATAATATTTACGTCAGTAGACCGTAATAACTTTTCATTTTCTATGTGACCACTGTCATATGTAGTCTGTCATTGATAAAAAAAAATCCTTATGTGATGCATGATTATATAATTTTGCTTAATTTTTACAGCAACCCTATAGGATACATACTATTATTTTATACTAAAGAAAAGGTGTTGGAAGATTTTTGAGTTACTTTACCAGGTTGCATGGCTGGCTGAAGTGGCAGGACTGGGAGGGAATCTGGGCTAACTGATATAAGATTTGGCACTCAGTGGATATCCTGTGTCGTTCAGATGCACTAGTCTCCCCAGTTGTCCCCATGTACTTCATAGCCACAGCTGATTCTCATGGCTCCTTCCGTAAATTCCTGTGAAGCTGTCACTCAAATGCAGGGCCTGCTAATCTTGAGCTGTATGAGGTTTCCATGGAGAAGAGATAAAGCTAGTGAAGGCTGGAGATTCATAATCATATATGAAAAACAGAATGAAAATCCACTAACAAAACTAATGGGAAAGGGATGTCTTTCCCCGGTAGTAGATTCGAT